TGTATTTTTTCCACTACCATTTCTAAATCCACTGCTTTCTTTTGTGTAGTCGTCTTTCACCCTAAATTAAATCACGCTTCTCAATTTGAACCCCTCTTTTTTCTACCCCAATTTCACCAGAATCCGAGGACAAGATTCGCCTGCAGATTGAACTGGAGTTTGTGCAGTGCCTCGCCAATCCCAACTACCTCAACTGTAAGTTTCGGTTTATTATCTTTCATTCAACCTTTAATTCCCTCTCTCCTTTGTTTTACCCCGCCCAGACCTCGCCCAGCGAGGCTACTTCAAGGACAAGGCGTTCATCAACTACCTCGACTACCTGCAGTACTGGAAGCGGCCGGAATACGCCAAGTTCATCAAGTACCCGATGTGTCTGCACTTTCTCGACCTGCTGCAGGCGGAGCACTTTCGCCGGGAGCTGACCTCGACGCAGTGCAGCAAGTTCATCGACGACCAGATCATCCTCCACTGGCACCACTACGCCCGCAAGCGCACCCGCCTCTTCTCCAGCATTGCCTCCTCGCAGGGCCAGCAGGGTCAGCAGAAGCCGAACACCTCGGGTCAGCAAACGGAGAGCTCCAATTCGACAACAGCTTCATCAGCAGCAGGAGCAGCAGCAGCATTACCACCACCACCACCGAATCATCAGCAGCAGAATAATCATCACCAGCAAAACAATAACAGTGGCGGCAGCGGTAGTGGACCATCGACGGCTCTGCTCAACGGCCATGCCAAGATCTAGATTAGAACTTTTCACATTTTCTATTTCTCAAAAGCTCATTCCTTTTTTGTATCATACTTTTTCCCCTTTCTTCTTTCCTTCTTATCTCATGATCACCGTATCACCTCTGTGTACCTACCTACAAACTTCACACTGTAAGCCACTATCGCTCTACTCAGCTCGACACAACTTTTCTGAAGCAAAAAACGTTTTCATGTAAATCAGAAATTCGTTCTGTTTTTCTCCACTGGGGTTTCTATTTTGATAAGCAGCAAAAATCGCAGCAACAGTTTCTCTTCTGGGAAATTCTTTAGCGGTAAAGAGTTCTATTTTGTTTTGTTTTGTTCTTTTGTAAGTGTGTGTGTGTGTGCGTGTTTTGCCAGCAATGATGCAACTGATTCTTTGGCGCTTTCAAGGCTCAATGTTTTTGCTGTTTTTGCTGCTAATTCTCGCCTCTCAACCACCACCTGTTTTCTCCTCTTCAAGCTCTGAAGCAACAACAAAAGACGGTGATAATGTCACCACACTTCTTATCATCACCACCAACTTCAATAACACCGAAGTTTCCACCACCACCACCTCCATCTTTGAGTATTCAACATCGACCGAAAAGAATGCTGGAAATTCCACAACCACCATCAAAANTTCTCGCCTCTCAACCACCACCTGTTTTCTCCTCTTCAAGCTCTGAAGCAACAACAAAAGACGGTGATAATGTCACCACACTTCTTATCATCACCACCAACTTCAATAACACCGAAGTTTCCACCACCACCACCTCCATCTTTGAGTATTCAACATCGACCGAAAAGAATGCTGGAAATTCCACAACCACCATCAAAACCAAAACCAACCAAATTCACCAGCTGGAGATCATTGCCTTTGCCGTCATCTTTCTTCTGCTCGTTCTCACCCTCACTATCCTCTCATTCTACGGTTTGATCATCAGAAAGGTCCGTCTTCTATCGGTGAAACCCTTCTCCACTAACTTCTATCTAACTCATCAACGACCACCTCAGGACGCAGTCCACCTCTCCGTCGACGACATCTCCCTAGTGGGCGCCCACTTTCGGCCAGAGTTTAGGAAGAGCACAAGAAAGGAGCCACTCACTTCACACTAGCTGACTGACCAGAGAATTACTTTTTGACCCCCAGTTCGTTTTTTTCTAAATTACCTCANTCGGTGAAACCCTTCTCCACTAACTTCTATCTAACTCATCAACGACCACCTCAGGACGCAGTCCACCTCTCCGTCGACGACATCTCCCTAGTGGGCGCCCACTTTCGGCCAGAGTTTAGGAAGAGCACAAGAAAGGAGCCACTCACTTCACACTAGCTGACTGACCAGAGAATTACTTTTTGACCCCCAGTTCGTTTTTTTCTAAATTACCTCAACAATCACCACATGTCATCGCTTTATCACCATCACCACTACTAATAAACATTCTCATAACAAAAAATCAAACAAATCTGGCTGGAAAACTGTTTGCATCTTTGTTACTTTGATAAACTTCCCTTCTACAACCTCGTTCTACTCTCTTTTTTTGCAAAACTTTGCTTTCACTGTCGACGATGAAGTTTCACTCCTCAAAAGTTCTGCTGCCTCAATATGTCATCTTCTTGGAATACACACTGGCAAGCGTGGAAGCTAATAAAACGGTTTTGAAAGAAGAAGAAGGAGGAGCAGACAGCGGCGGTGTCTCATCATCCACTTTCACCTTCGTCCGCATCAGCGTCCTAGTCTTTCTCGCGCTAGTCATCGCCGTCCTCATCACCGCCTGTCTGGTCGGCCTCTTCAAGCTCTGCTGCCTGAACAGTCAGGTCGCCGGCCCTAACGCCCGAAACGTTCCGGTTCAGGGCGCCTTTAGAAAGGTAGGTTGAGCGGCTCAACAGCTGTTGTTGATCAACGAACAATCTCACTTCTTTCTTCCTCTGCAGAAAAACTTCTTTTTCATTCCGAATCATCGTCGGATGAAGTTCGGCGTCGGCAGACCACCCAATAACCTGTTTGGGGGCGTGGACAGCGAGAGCAGTGAGGGTGGCAATAGCTTCAGTGGCAGCGCCCACTCTCTCGGGGGAGGTGGAAATATCCCTGCCTCCTCCGCTGATTCCTGGGGCAGCACTCAAAGCCT